CATAGGAGCAGAGAGGCTCTCTGCTCCTATGATGCTGCTTGGCCTGCTGTGTTCATCCAGCCCTGCACCTTGTTGTCTCGGATTCTCCAGCATCTGCAGTTCCTACTATCTCTGCTGTATTAAAATGATCAGTTATGGGAAGGTGGGGGTCATGTTTGCACACAGATTGGAGGTGTTCCGCAAGCAGTCACTCCAATGGTTTCTCCAATGTAGCGAAGGCCACATTGGGTGCAGCGAATACAATACACAAGATTGGAGGAGGTACAGGTGAAATGCTGCTTCACCAGAAAAGACTATTTAGGCCCTTGGATGGTGAGCAGAAAGGAGGTAAAGGGGCAGGTGTTGCACCTTCTGCGGTTACATAGGAAGGTGCTGTGGGAAGGGGGGTGGTGGATGAATAGACTAGATTGTCCAGGAAGGAATTAGCATGTGTGTGTTTGTGTGTGTGCATATATAAATAATAGAACATACATAGCTAAGTGCTAAATGAACCTCCCTCTGCATATAAACATTCATATATATGGTCCTCACTATATTGTCCCTACTATCTACCTGATGATAACAAAAGCTCCCCCTCTGGCCGCGGGCAGAATATACCGCATCCCTGCCCATCCCATTGGTTGGAGGACTCCCTGGTCCTCCAGGCACCGCCCCTTCACGCCCACCCATTGCTTGAAGCGCGCGCGCATTCCATGCTCTCCCAACCGCTGGAGGCCGCAACCCCACGCTCTTCCATTGCCTGGAGGACTCCCTGGTCCTCCGAGGATTGCCCTCCAAAGCGCTCCAATTGGTTGGAGGACTCCTGTGGACCTCCAGGCACCGCCCCCTTACTCAAGGCAATCCCATTGGCTGGAAGATCGGCGGACCTCCGAGGCGGATCCGCCTCCTAGTTGGTCGGTGGCCGCTGTCAATCAGAGCCGGGTCACGTGGGCTCCTAGGGGCTGTTGGTGGTATGGAGGGGCGGGGGGGCGGAGAGGAGGGGTAGAGGAGACACAAGGCGCCGCCCGCCCCAGCGAAAGCGATCGGACATTCGCCGGTTTGTATTTCACCGCGATCGGACCTCCCTCAACCTGCGGACGTCCACTCACAGTATTCAGCCTTCACTGGCGGCTGCCCGATGAGCGGTTTCGGGGCCTGGGGGAACTGGCTGGGGGCGTTTGCAGACGGGATCCGTTACCGATCGAAGGAGGGAGGGGGAGGGGGAGATAACCGTCGCTTGGTGAGGGTCCGCTCTGCGCCCGCGCAGATCTGAGGCCAGCCATGGGGGATGATGATGTCAACTGAGCATGCGCGGCTGCCGGCAGTGCCGGCATAGCGCCTGCGTGCGTGGACATTCCCACGGCCGTCCCGGCCCAACGCGTGCGTGCTTTGTCGTCATCGCCTCGCCGGTGCCGCACCTGTGCACCTGCTATCTTACACCGTCTGTGCCGGGATTGCGCATGCGACTTTGACCCTATCGAGCCCGATGGTGCTGGCAACGCGCCTGCGCGCCTGGCCTCCCGTCAAGCACCCGTCCCTCCCCCGCTACCCGTTTGGAGGTGTTGACACCGCGTCTGCGCGATTGAACCCTAAATGGCCGTTGGGGACAATGGAGCGGTTCCACCCGCGCGGGGCGGTCTGGGTAGAAGCGGCCGCCATTGTGGCTGGGGTCCTATCTCGACCGGGGAGGGGGGAGGGGGTCGGGAAGTAGTGGTATGGGGGAGTTTGAACCTGGCAAATGGTGTTTCCTGTGGTGAGTCAGTCCAGAACTTTGGAGAAGTGGTGGGGAAGTAAGACGTTGAAGGAACAGGAGTCCATTCAGCCCATCAAGTCTGCTCTGCCGTTCGTAAGAATGAGGTGTAGGTCATTCAGCCCGTCTCATCTGCTCCACCTTTTGATTCAGTGAGATCACAGCTAATCCGATCTCCTTTGGCTCCATTTCTTCTGCCTTTTACCCCTCAGATTAAAAATCTGACCCTCTCAGCCTTGACTACACTTAATGACCCAGCCTGGACAGCCTAAGGGCATAGTTCCCTGTTTAGTGAAGACTTTGCAATAAGACGTAGGAGTAGAAGTCTGCTCCACTGATCTTGACTGATCTGATTGTCCTGAAACCCACTTCCCTGCCTTTTCCGCATAACCTTTTAATCTGATTAAAAACCTATCTCAGCCTTGAATATATGTCATGACCCAGCCTTGACAGCCCTCTGCAGTAAAGGATCGCACATTTACTCCCTTCGGAACGAAGAAATACCTCCCCATCTCTGTCTTCAATGGATGACCCCCTAGATGCCTGTCTGGTCCTAGACTCTCCCACACGAGGGGGAACAACCTTTCCTCATCTCCCTTGTCAAGTCCAATCTAAGGATCTTGTACGTTTCAATCGGGTGGTCAATCTAAACTCTAATGAATACAGGTCCAACTGACTCAACATCTCCCTCCATAAGATAGTCCCTCCGTCCATGGGATCAGCCGAGCGAACCTTCTCTGTGCTGCCTCCGATGCCCAGTCTATCATTCCTTAGATAAGGGGCACAGTTCCTGCTCAGGTTTGTCCAATGCTCACACCTTCTCTCTCTCTTTCTCTCTCTCTATGTCTCTCAGGACCCAGGCTCTGCTCCCAATTCTGCAGGACGATCAGCGATGGAGAATCCACAGATGCCAACCCCGGAGGAAGCATCAGGCCCGGGGCCGGCGGCGATAACCAATCCGGATGCCCCGGCTCCCACCCCAGAGGCCAAGGGCGGGGCCGAGAAGCCCTTCTCGTGCCCGGGCTGTGGCCTGGGTTTCCGTCGGGCATCCAACATGGCGCGGCACCGGTGCCGGCGGGACGGGGAGCGTCCGTATCCGTGCGGGGACTGCACCAGGGCCTTCAACTACCCATCAGAGCTGGCCATCCACCGGCGCAGCCACACCCGAGAGAGGCCCTTCATCTGCTCGGCCTGCGGGAAGGGCTTCCTGTACTCATCCAACCTGCTGACCCACCAGCGGGTCCACACGGGTGAGCGCCCATTCGCCTGCCCGCTGTGCGGCAAGGGCTTCACCCGTTCCTCCAGCCTGGCGGCCCACCAGCGGGTCCATTCAGACGAGCGCCCTTACCCATGCGACGGCTGCGAGCGTCGCTTCAAGAGTGAGAAGGAGCTGAAGATTCACCGGCGACTGCATCAGGGCGAGCGGCCGTTCCCCTGCGGTGTCTGCGGCAAGGGCTTCACCCAGCTGGCAGTGTTGCTGGCACACCAAAGGGGCCACACGGGCGAGCGCCCCTTTGCCTGCTCGCTGTGCGGCAAGGCGTTTGCTCGCTCCTCCAGCCTGACGGCCCATGCTGGTGTCCACTCCGACGTGCGGCCCTTCCCCTGCGAAAGCTGCCACAAGCGCTTCAAGAGCGCCAAGGAGCTTAAGGTGCACCGTCAGGTTCACTCCGAGGAGCGGCCCTACCCATGTGGCGTCTGTGGTGAGCGTTTCCGCCAGGCTCGTAACCTCCAGGCTCACCGCCGTACCCACACCGGCGAGCGCCCCTTTGCCTGCTCCCTGTGCACCAAACGCTTTGCCCGCTCCTCCAGCCTGCTGGCTCACCAGCGGGTCCACTCTGACGACCGCCCCTTCCCCTGCCCGGACTGCCCCAAGCGCTTC